CCTCAGCTCAATAGCCGAGACAGCTACCATCAGGTCTCACATCAGCGTCGTGCGCCAGACTGGAGAAAGATACTCCCCGAAACTTCAGCAGGTGGTTGACCTCCGGGCTCCAGACACGACTCTGTGGGTGTTGGAGGACGGCAGTGGTGAAAATGTGCGTGTTGCTTTTTGATTGTGGTTGTGTGCGAGAGATGCGAGAGCTGTGGTGCTGAACCATGATGGGTATGCCATGCGTTTTTGGACGACAACTCTTGCTCCTTGGCCATGCCCTGTGCAAACTCTGCCAATCTCGAGCACTCATTGATTTGGGAAGGCTCGGTGGACTACGTCCACACTTCGGATCACGACATACTAGGTCTAAAGCTGCAGGGCTGTGGTCCCCCACAGGATGTGTTAATTACTTGAGCAGTAGCCGCAGGTTGGACCGGCAATACAGCAAATACAGCAGGTGGCTCTGAACTTCTGCATGTCACTGCATTTCGTGCGAAGTATTGAATTGGCCAGCCGGTGCAGACTCAAATAATGGAACATGATGGAACCAAGCACTCTCTCGACGTCGACAGTCACCTCTTTGATGCCGTAGGATATTTTCGTGCCGCCAGGAGCACTCCCACCGGAGCGACGAGAAGACACACCTTGGAAAGCGAACACGGCCGCCCGAAAACTCAGCAATGCAGACGCGAGTGCTACAGTAGCAATCAAGCAGGCCGTGAGCAAAGGTGTGTTTGTGTGTATATGCATGCATGCATGCTCGTCTGCCTGTGTGTCCGTATGCCTGTATTCATGCGTGTGTTTGTTGCTTGTCTGTCTGTCTGTCTGTCTGTCATGACCCTTGTCGGACATAGGCGAAGGGCAGCACTCATGCTCGCCTGCAGGGAGCAGCTCTTCCGTTGCGGGGGAAGCCCCTTCTGAAAGGATGCTGAAAGGATGCAAAGGCATGCAGCAGCCCTCGTCCTCCAGCTGAAAGGATGCGCCCCCGGCTTTGCTAGGCGTCTTCCGCAGGAGGAGGCGCCCCCTCGGCCTGCGTGTCTGGCGGAGGGTGGCGGGCGCGGCAGCACACAGCACAGCACTTGCAGTACCTGCTCGCTGCTGAAAAGAGCGATGCACCCGATGCCCTATTGTACGGGCCGGACCGCGCTTTCGCAAAGCCCGGCCAAACGATGCTGCCGGCCGACTGATGATGGTGTGCTGCCGTCGCTGCCACGGAAGGGCATTGAGCAGCTGATGCTTGTGATGCTCGCTGCTGGTGCTTTGCTAGCCTGGGACGGTTGAGAACGATGGTCGAAGGGACGGTGCTGCTTTGCTGACTGGTCGCCCTGGAAGGGGCTTTAGGGCCATAGACCGCTGGTTGTTGGTTTTGGGCCTCCCAGCTGAGGCCTCGACGAGTGTTTCTGGGGCGGCAGGCATTCCGGGAGCGGACGACATAGCAGAGTGACTGCAGCGGCTACTATAGTTTACTAGAGCTCATCGCAGGCTCCATGTTGCCTTCTCTTCTGAATCCTTCTGTCCGTTTGTGTGAGTGTGTGTGTGTGTGTGCGCACCTACTGCAGGTGTTTCCTGATGGTTGCGACCGAGCAATCATTGAGGTGAAGCCTTCGAACTCGATTCGCCCCTGCCTCCACCCCACACATACACAGAGACATGCACGTCCCCAACCACAACAACTCCCATCCCACAACAGTACAGTAGTGGTTGTAACTCACATGGCCAAAGAAACATCTCGACCCACCTCATGTGAAGCCTCACAGTGTGGAGGAGTCAAATAGTGTCGGGTCATGCCAGGTTGCTGGTGGGCGCAGCACGGACAAGAAGCGGCAGAGTGGTGAGAAGGCCAAGAAGCCAGGGAGATCTGAGGCTTCTTTCTGCTTTCACTGCATACGAGGGGAAACTTGCCTGATACTTGCGACTGCGACGTGATGCGAGCCGAGGCGGCGCGGTTCCTCGTTGATTGTGTGGGTACAAGTTATATGGAGTATCATCAGTACAGCAGGCATAGCTTTGACTGCTGTACCTCGCTGGTTGGCCCAGTGAGCCCGGTATTCCGGCCAGACGATTGCCCGCAGTTCCTGGCAAGCTCATGTTTCCAAGCTGGAGAATTGTAGCCACATGTGGTCTGCGCAGACCTCGAAGATTCTCGAGGGTCGTGATTCTTGGCTTCTAGACTCTAGACTCGCTTGCAGCCAAGATCCTGTCGTTTGTTGCACTCTTATTCGGTTGAAGTCGTTGGAATGACAGCTGCGAGCAGACATGCGCCAGTGTTTCTTCCACCGCTACGACCTCTCCCAGCGCGCTGTGCTCGGCCCTACCACGCTGGAGCTGGGCCCTCTGCGGGAAGTGCAGCTGAGCACTTGGATTATCGTGATTTCGATGCACGCAGCTGGACCTGCCGCGCTGACTGCTGGCAGTGTGTTTGTTTTTCTGTGGCCTTCGTCCCTGAGGTGTTGAATCGTCTTGTGTCTTTTCCGGCTCACAAACCGAACTCAAGCTGTGCTGCGGCCTCTTCGATTCAGCACTCGAGTATTGGGACCCCTGCAACATGGTACCCAAGCAGGCTAAAGACTTGATGGGAGCGTCGGAGCTGCAAGGCGAAAGAGAGGTCCTGGTACAAAGAACGAGAAGAATCAGAACCAAGATTGCAACAAGCGCCGACACTGAACCATTGTCGTGCTCAGCTCATCCCCGCAAAGCTCCAATCTCATCTCAGCAACGAGCTGGCCTTCATCATGGCAAATTGCGCTGGTGTCCGGTCAGGATCTCAGCGCATGGGGGAGCAAGCACAGTTTCCAAGGGGCGTAACTCGGGGTGGAGCGATGAAAAGTCGTGTAGATGCTGAAATTACCCAGAGGCCCGTATGATGATATACCAACCCATTCACGAAAGCCTGCCGCAGCTTGCACCAATAACGCCCCGTTAACCCCCACAACATGGATTCGGGCAAGCAATATTCAGCAAAAGAAGCATAAGGGGTGTTCACGGGTTGGGCCCCGGCCCCAAAAAGCGACGAGGCGCCCAGGCAGCCCGACGGGCCGGCCAGCGCCAGACACGCCCAAGATTCAATCAGCTAGCCAGCCTCAGAAACGAATGGATTGAACCACCGAAAGTTATGGCAATGTAATGCCGTACTGGTACGAGTGCTGGGTGAGCTTTCTGAAAGCATTACATGAGCAGGTTATCCTGACATTTCTTTACATGTGATCAAGAAGTCATTGTAGCAGCGGCCGCAATGTCCGCCTGCAAATAACAATAACCTAGTGCGTGCCCTGATGGCCGACCAATTGCTCAGCCATCAAGCTCGCCTGTTACTGAGTTACGAATACACTGCGCAACATCGCTTCTGCCGACGTTAGAAAACATCTTGAGTTTGGATACGGCATCACATCAGCGCAAAAGAGGTGAGTGACTGAGTGAGCGAACATGAACGCACGAGCTGGCGCGTGATCGGTGGGCGTTAGTGCCAGTGCGATGGATTAGGGCTGCATTGATTCACGAAGAAGGACCAGGAGTAGGTGCAAGATCAACGTGGTAAATGAACTTGCGAAGCAAGCATGAGAAGCGGAAGTCTTTCTCCAGGCCCCACCAGCTAGGCATGGACCCTTTCTGCGGGCCGGGGCCCTGGGCCCTGGGTCTACCCGGTGTTTCAGAATTGGGCCCAGGAGACTGCAGTATGATAGTGAGGTTTATAGCAGTTTGAGGGCCTTTGCCCTGATTCTGCTTCAGTCGTTCTGACCACAGCGTAGCTTCTGTAGCTCCTAGTCCTAGATGTTGCAGGGCCCTCCGTAACTTGCATCGAAGGGGCGTTGCTGCAGGTTAGTACTGCGCCCTACTCTAATCCCGAACCTCCAGCGACCTTAACTCATGGTTGATGCTTACGACTCATGGTTTCAGGTTCTATCCGTATGGCCTCACCCAAACTTGTGGCCCCTTGTGGCCTTGCCCAAACATTTCCAACACAACAACCCTACGAATCACTTGGTCAATTTCCGCCAAAGGACGGGGGGTCTTCTCATCGCCATGGCTCATTTCGGAGCGCCGGGCACGCAGACCGATGGGGCCTTTTATCGAGGGGTGTAGCATGCTCGAATTTAGGCACAAGAAGCTTGGGTTAAGAGGTTTGGGAGCTGTGGAAAACACTTCCGTCGGCTACAGACTTGCCACTCCCGCCCCAAGCTTTTCCAATTGGAGTTTTGGAATTCGGTGGCAGGCAGGGCTTCCAGCTCTGAGGTTAACATGAGATTCTGTTGCAGTTATGTTGACCTTGTCCGAGAAAGGCTGCGCAGAGGTCCGGCACATGAAAGGCGGCTGTAGGATTTTTTGCACGTTGTCAAGGAAATGAGCGCTCGATACCGTCTGGCCTTCTGAATGAGACTTCCTGTAGATGCCACATACAGGCAATCGAGTCTGCGTGCTGAGGGGTCTTGAGACGAACGCCCAGTGCTTTTCAAGGAAGCTCTTCGGCGGAGAGATCGACATCCGTGTCGTGCGCGGATGGAGGTGGGACGAAACGGATTCAGTTGTTCAGAAGTCTTGAAATGGTGACATTGATAAATTCGGGTCGGACTCGCTTGGCGCATGTGTGGGTAACCGAAGTTGCGTTCCTGCACCCGCCTTTCAATTCGAGCTCATCGAAACCTCACAAAGCCTTGACATGCCAAGCTCTCAACGGCCCTTGTGCGCTGAACCCCCCAACTCGAAACCCAGCAAATCCAAGCTGCCAGGATCGCCTACACGAAGAACAAAGCCGCCGTCCTCGACGCCGCCCGCAGCCGTGGGATGTCGGCTGCCGGCGCAGGCCAGTCGCCCCTCGCACTGCGCTACTACGGCTGATGGACAAAATCCTGCATGACCTCATATACCTAAACTATGGGATTTATGGTACTATACTATATTTGGGTCATGCAGAATTTTGTCCATCAACAGTAGTACATGGTTTGTGTGTGCTACTCGAGTCTGTGCTGGTTGCTTCAGAGCTGCTAAAGTACACCCCGCAGAACCCTAGTTGACTTATAAAGGCCGGTACATTAGGAGATTCCAGGCCTCGGAGACTCGGAGTTCCGTAGCATCCGGTTCGCGCGGAGTCGTGGGAGAGGTTGAGGGTTTGCAGCCCTCGGTGACCACTTTCAAGGTTGAAGTTTGGGGATGTACTTCCTCTCTTGGAAGGTTCCGGGACCCAGAAGCCCCCTAAACCCTAAACCCTAAACCCTAAACCGTGAAGCTTTTGGCCGGAGATTTTGGAAAAGCCGCGGCAGAGCCGAGGGCCGAGGGCTTCGTCGGGTTGGATTTGAGAGCTTCCTGGGAGTTTCCGAAAATTAGGGGTACCGTATTTTGGGGTCCTTATATTAAGGATCCTATTATTTGGGGTACTATATTAGGGTCCCCTATTTTCGGCAACCCCCTCATGGGACCTCACCAAAGCCCCTGGCAGGTGCCCCATCCGCTGCCGATGCTCCAGACGCTTCCCTCAACATGCCGGGACCCCAAGACAGGCTGGGAAACACCTAGGGGCTTAAAGGCATAGTGAGTATGGCATGGGCATCGGCTTGAGAATTCGGTAGTCAGCCTTATTCATCAGATGGATGCCACGGGGCTTTGATGAGGTTTCAGCAGGGCTGTCCTCCGGAAATGCATGGGAAATTAGATGAGGTTTAACTGGGGACTGTGCTAGTGAAATGACGCTGCTAATGCGAATGCAGCCGCTTGACCGCAGCCTGGTTTCGAATACTGAAGGCAATCAGGATCCGGACTTTCTGGCTTCATCACGCAGGAACTGACAATAGAGGCAAAATCAGAGAATCCCAGACCCAGCTGTCCTCAAAAACCCCATCTTCGGCTTTCTTAACGTGCATGTATACATAGTATATATATATAT